CTGCCCGGCCGACCGGTGTGGCGCTCCAGCTAGCTGGCCTGCCGGTGTGGCGCTCCAGCTGCCTGGCCGGCTGGTGTGGCGCCCCAGCTGCCTGTCCGGCTGGTGTGGCGCCCCAGCTGCCTGGCCGGCGGGTGTGGCGCTCCAGCTGCAGCGCTCCAGCTGCCTGGCCGGCCGGTGTGGCACTCCTGTTGCCTGGCCAGCTAGTGTAGCGCTCCAGGTGCCCGGCCGGCCGGTGTGGCGCTCCAGCTGCCTGGCCGGCTGGTGTGGCGCCCCAGCTGCCTGGCGAGCTGGTGTGGCGCACCAGCTGTCTGGCCGGCCGGTGTGGCGCTTCAGCTGCAGCGCTCCAGCTGCCCGGCCGACCGGTGTGGCGCTCCAGCTGGCTGGCCTGCCGGTGTGGCGCTCCAGCTGCCTGGCCGGCTGGTGTGGCGCCCCAGCTGCCTGGCCGGCGGGTGTGGCGCTCCAGCTGCAGCGCTCCAGCTGCCAGGCCGGCCGGTGTGGCGCTCCAGTTGCCTGGCCGGCCGGTGTGGCGCTCCAGCTGCCTGGCTGGCCGGCCGACAGTGAGCGGTCCGGACGCAGAGGGGGTCCAGTGAACCTGGCAGCCAGCGGTCAGCGCCAGGGGTGCTGTGTCCTGTACTTCTGAGACTGTCACCTCCGACCTCCCGCCTCATCCCACCGCAATATCCGGTCAACATTCTCACTTTGAGTCATGGGATTTTCAAGCTGGAGCGGTTTTGATGTTTTGCTTAACCATTTTGCGCTTGTCATGGCTCGCGGGTTGATTTATCAACGAAATTTCACTTGGGGCGAACACTGGTGCGATTAACGCCAGATAGCAGCATAAAGTCATGGGTGCCTTAACGTCGGAGCTGATGAAGGCCAGAGAAGGATTATCGTCGGGTCAATCGCATGGTGTTTAAGTATAGTACGCTGATATCATCAGACCTTGAAGCTTCCGACCCGATAAGTGACGGTATCACCGTTTGCAGCTGGTTTCTAAACAGTGGCAGTGCACATGAACCCGGCGGCGCCGCGTGCTGGTGCTGCTGCAGCCTACAGGCCTGGCAGGCAAATGTCAGCCTATTTGTGGCGTGCCCTGTCACAAACAGATCGACAAAATAATGACGCGTTTGATGACTGGAGGATCGAACAGCTGGTGCATGCCGGTAGCTGCACATCATAGCGATGGTCCTAGGCACGATATTGCAAATTCTATCTTTTTCGGTTTCATAGCAGTAAAAACAGATAAAAATAAGACGCTGCAACCAGTAATGTGGCTACCTGGATTCTACAGGCAAGTATCGTGAAAATCTCGAAGACAGCAAACATGGACGCGGGTTACTTCCACGCTCCTCATATAGAAATATATTGCGTATGGTTCATAAGATGCGTTAACATTGCCGCGGCAAATAATGCAAGTTATAGCAAATTCAGCAATGTCTGTCAAAGTGTTGTCTGCTAACCTTGACAGATCTAGAGATAGGGCTTCGGTGGTCATGCCCTCTATTCCGTTTACTTAAGGCCCGGAAAGAAAAAAATGTGGGTCACTTAAACATGTATTCCGAGTCTCAAGAACAGTGATCATCTGGCAGAGCTCCAGCTATCCAGGTATATGAAGGTGGCACAGAATAGTGGTTGGAACCTAATTGGTTCTTGTTTTCATCACCTACTTAAGTTTTCTCTCTAAAATTACAATTAGATAAAATATGCAAATAAATAAAAACAAAATAAGTATTACAGACTCTCAACTAAATCCCGATATGGATACACAGCTTGGGGCACAGGTCATCAAACCGTACCGGCCTCATCCTAATGTAGACTGCGGGAGCCTAGACGGTCCCTGCCCTGATAATGTTTTGGATCAACCTCAGCTAGTGAATTTTGATATTTAGACATTTCATTATAACAGTAAGCTTTCCATAAAACGGGCACGAGCCTTAACACCACCGACAATGTTATGGCCTTATCAATAGCATGAAACAGCACAGTTTTCCATGTCGCAATACTCGGGTGCGTCCGCAAAATTTCGAGCGTGACGGGAACATCGTGGCTGCTTAAGAAGTCAAGCCCAGTGAGAGCCCTCCTTTTAATGACGAGCCGTTGCAGCCTGCACTCAACGGATCCGGAAGTATTGGTACCACCGCACCTCCTCCGATTCCTTCCGAGCCCCAGCTGGTCAGTCCTAACCAGGAGCGACCCTGGCACGACCACTCCAAGGCGACCTTTCGGCATCGCTCGCGTATACCTCCACGGCGCTCAGCCACTCCCAGGTCAGGCCGTCGATCGCCACATCTTTCCTCCGTCCAGAGCCGCGTCTACCACTCTACCCCCACGGGTAGAACGGTAGACGCGGCTCCCCCTGCCCTCGGCCCGCAGTGCCAGCTTCCGTGCCGGGTCTGGCGCTGCCCCGCCTGCGCACGAGGACCGTCGCTCCGCTCGCGGCGGGCGCCGGCGCGGCGGCCGGCGGCCGGCGCCGCGCGGTCTGCTCGGAGCCACGGGCGGCCTGCCGCCGCATACGCTCGGCCCGGCGCGGCTTGGGCGGCACGCGCCGGCGGCGGTGGCGGTTCTCCGAAGCGCACGACCCGACGGCTTACCCCGCACGTCGCCGGTTGCCGGGCGGCCTGTTGTAGATGCAGACACCGTCGGCGGGGCTGGGAGAGTGGCTCGTATTTTTGTGAGCTGAGCTCGTTTTCGCTACGCTGGGATGATCTCCGCCTTTTTGTGACAGCGCTTTTCATCACTCGAAACGTAACTAAGAAACCATTTTAACTGCGACATGACATTTCCATCCATACAGATTGCTGCTGCGGATCTTGCAAACCGGTGCCCGGTATTGATAACGGCTAAACCATTGGACACAGCCAAACGAAATGGCAGAACGTAATGACGTGTCGAATCGGGAGACATGCAATGAATGAGGCAGGTCCCAGACCGCTCATCGTCCGCCGCAATGTACCTGACACAAGCTACTGCTTGAACTGATCAAGGATCGAAGGCAGAGTTCTGACTACTTCCATCCGATGCGTAGCCGGTGACTGTGTTCAGACTGCGGGAGAGCAGCGTTTCTCTGGGTTTCTGGGATCTGTGGGACTCGGACATTATGCAAATCGGGAAGATTGATTCACCTGACCCGTTCGGATGCTGAGCCATGCTGAGACATGAGTTCGGCGTCCACTGGCGGCTGTGCTCCTGTGTCCCCGTCGCTGTCAGCGTGGAAAATGACACCACAACTGGCCACGACGTCCGTAATGGATCCACCCGATGGTTGTGGCATCGGTCGAGCAGCACGGCGCGAGGCGTAGGGCCGTCTCACCACGACAGCCAAGGTTACACCGTCTCCGACCTTCCCAGCCAATGTTTGCCGCCGTCGCAGCCCCATTCGCACCAGCATGTGCGGCTGATTCGAAGCGATTTGGCCGGCGACAGTTTCGCTGCGTTGGCGGCGAGGTCAGGGGTACCGGAATAGCCAACGCTTCAAAAACGACCCGCCAATGCATCCAAGGGGCGCTTCGAGTGAAGCGCATCCAAGGGTACGACGAACCTGACAGGGCTGTAGGTCACGCTGCCAACGGGGCGGCGGGCACCAGGAAGCGTTTCCGGGCGCCATAGGTCGGCCAGCGGCGGAACCGGCCGGCGGGACGGCTTCAGTGGCGCCTACCGAGCCGTGGCCGAGGCAGGCAGCGCCGCCGGCGTACCAGACAGTCGCCGCCCTCTTGGAGCGGCGGGATCTAACGGCCGTGATTTCGCGCCAACGGCCGTGATTTCGCGCCATGGGAGACGCAGTCTGGCCGGTCGCCATGGTGATGCCGTGGTCAAACGGCTGCCAAAGGCTCTAAATACACGCCGCCACGGCAGGGCCGGCTGGAAATCACACCCTTGTGGTTGAACGTGCCGGGGGAGTACAGCTCAGCTGGTGCGATGACTGCTCGTCGAGGCAGCTAAAAATAAGTGCATGCAGCCCACGCTATACCGTGTTTTTGCAGTCCGGTGTTAATCCGAAATCGAGTACCTGCCTGTAGTCCGACCAAAGCTGGGTTTACGCGCGCTGGCGCCTTCAAGGCAGCCACGAAGCGACGCGCGCCACGCCCAACATGACGAGGCGGCTGTGAGACGGGATACACGTCCGCAGCCGACTTGTTCGTATACCGTGAACGGATCGCTGACGGTAGGTAACGTGTATCTAGTCTTGTAGTTGTCTCGTCGTAGCGGACAGATCTCTGTTGATATGTGCCTCGTCTTGAATATACACGAAATAAGAACATGTGCACGTCCGAGCACGCATATGAGTGTCTACATACGAGATGCGACTGTACGGATATATCCGACACAAGACACGTTATCACCCATCTTCAGAGATCTGTCCATGGCATACGGACATAATCGGCTAGTGGGTGTGGTGCCGTTTTTATGGTAGTGGGCCGAGCCTCCGGTGTTACCGTGTTCCGGGTGCCTATGATCGCATCATCGCGTTCTTTTCCGGGCGGTCGATATCAGCACATCAGGCGCTGTTCGTTAATGGAAACCGCCGGCCGCGTCAGCGGGAGTCGGTGAAACTGCTCTGTCGGCTCCCGCGGTCTCTCGCGTGGTGAAGTCAGCCGTCTAGTGTTGGGCAAGCTAGTCGTTTACACGCTTGCTGAGCTTGAAATGAACGTCATGCACGGCCGTCCAGAACCACACATGACCTTCCGCACCCAACGGGCTTGGGCGATGATGAAGCGGTACAAGTCATCTGGCACATACGTGTGCGAGTCGGTACATGGGTGCCTTCGCACGAACAAACACGCAGGAGAGGTCACTGGAAATGAAATGTGACACAAATTTGGTCCCTAATTCTATAAAATAGCTTACAGAATGTAAAAGATCTAGGTCGTCTCCCACCCGACCCTTGGCGACGAAGACTGACATAACACAGGCCTAGATCGTTTATCGGGGGCCGCGGGTCACCACTCTGACCTGACGTGCGCGGGCCGTGGCTGCAGGGCCGCGGCAGACAGCTCACTCACCTGACTGGGTCACGCAGGCAGCCGCCGGCGCGGCCGACAGGACCGCCAGAGCGACGGCGAGCACCAGCGTGCCGAGCATTCTGCGTGAGACCAGCCCGACGCAGGCGCGCAAGCGGCGCGTGGCGGCAGGGGCAGCCGGTGACCAGCACCTCACAGCGGCCCGCCGCCGGCCTCAACCCGCCCCCGACCGCTACTGGAGCACCTGACCCGGCGGGACGGCGTCGAGCCGCCAGCCGTCGCGACGGCAGCGCCACCTGGCATCTGGCGGTGCACTGTGACCCTGCCGGCCTGCGGAGCCCGCAGGGTCACGGCCTATTCGCGGCGGCGGAGCGCGACGCCGGCTCACGTCCGGCTCCATTCAAGAGGACTTCGGCGCGATTTTTTGACGCAGTCGTTGAAAAGAACAGTAACAGTGACATGATGTGACGACCGACAAAACGCGGAATGATTAAATGCTTATCAAAAAACGCAATAAAACTGCCTTGTTCCAAACGACAAGACCTCGGTGCAACGCCCCACAAAAGTACCACTCTACTGACAGCCACCCTTCTTACCTCACCCTCGCTTCAGCTTGCACCTTTGCCACGCCCTGTCTGTTCGGGGCCAGCTTCATGAGCCAGTCATATGGCTGGGCTTATGTTTGGACTGGGCTGGGCTAGGCAGAGCCATGAGTGGGCTTGTGTGCTGCGGAGGCTTCGTCCGAACGCCGAAAACATGCCCGCATAAGGGTCTCTGTGTGGGCTAAGTCTCGGCTAAGAACTCCCAGTTGCATGTAGTGTTTTCTTCTCCATTAACCATCCCTCTTCATCACATAGCTCTGAAATGACCACTGCTGGACGACGGAGCAATCTAATCAAAACAAAACCCCAACTCCGCTGCAATCATTTTGTCATCTCCCACAAGTGCAACCGCCACCAGTTAGTCAGTGCCCCAACCGACTGCACTGCGCTTGAAGGGAGCATTCCATATTTATATGGGATTTTGCACTGAAACAGCCATCTTGGAGATCGTTCTTTGCAGTTCACAGCCCTGTCGTCCTTTATGCCTAAACCCTTTTAGTTTCTGAGTTGCATACCTGCGAAGATGAGCAGACTATTTTGGGGAGACTATTTCAAGGTCACCCAGGCATCCATGACGTCACAATAACGTCATTCAAATTCTGTCGCACCATTACCCATACAGTGGCCAAGGCCAAGAAAAATGTAATTGTCAAGCGGTTTATAGCTGACGTTCTTGAGCACGATTTCTAGATATGACGGCCGTCAGTTGGCTCTCAATCAATGTTGTGCGAGGTACGATGACGTAATGAAGCAATGACGTACTGAGGAGCATATTTATAAAGATTTGAAAGTACATATGAAATAAAAGCAAATAAAAGTACATAAACATTTAAAAGTGCATCAACCGTTATGAGTGAAGCTATTTCGTCGTATGTGATGCTTACACCAACAGCTTCAAACGTGTAACAGCTTCATTTGCTTTAAGCGTAGCATTTATCGCAAATGGAAAAATTGGACTCTTGCGGGAAATAAAAAGCCCACAAAGACGCCTGCAGGAATGGCGCTGCTTCGAAGTCTGTGGTTTGTTTGAAGACATCATCAATGGCCAGACCTATGTTGTTCGACGAAGCCAGATTGCTTCTGGGCGTCATCACCAGTTAGACCGTGCTTGTTAGGCTGTGGTCCCGTTGGTCCATTGATTGTTGTTTGATGTTTCGGGGCTGTTAACATTTTTAATTGGCATCGCGGTCTTGAACATATGTAAATTCACATCATATAAAACGAACATATGTGATGTGTAATAAACGTAATCATGTTTAGCTGCGGAGATAGTTGTGTTGGCTATTGGGAGTTTGAGCTGCAGCACATCAACAGACTACAGCGCTGACCCAAGGAATATACCAGATATATTGACACCGCACTGTGATGTTTCCATTTTATTTTAAGTCGGACGTAAATCGAGATATCTGGCCTAGACCTCTATCCTCGGCACGGCCGAGCTGGGGTGAAACAAAAGCTCATATCTCGCAGTACACAGACACACATACAGATATATATATATATATATATATATATATATATATATATGTGTGTGTGTGTGTGTGTGTACATGTATATATATATATATATTGGAATATTTTGGCAGAATTCTTTCTTTGATACATGTTTGATTAAAAGTAACTGCTGACTCAGCATTAACGAGCTTTTTGATGCATCGTTCTAGTTTCCGGGCCTTTGACTTTGCGTCATCGCCTAGATTAAAGATGGTTCGCACAAAATTACTCATATATTCATCACTCCTTCCATTCTAACGTTTCGAGATCTTATCTCTTTTTCGGAGAAGACTAAATTGCACAAGAAATAAGTTTTGAGTTTTAAAGGATGAAAAATTGTGCACTACTGTTGGAAAACATCTTTTAGTACGGAGAACATAAATGAAGCATAACTAATTGAAGTAAGACGGATTACTATTTTCATCTTCATACATGTAACAAACACTCATAATGGGAACATCACAAAGACACAATGGGAACACTATTGTCACAATCACATCAGAAGTGCTCACCGCCCGCCACCTAGTAGCTCAAGAGTTCTGCAAGAATTTGTCTGTCTGTTTAAGGCCGGAGAGAGTTCGTTAATGAATATGCTTTCCCAAATTTGAAGGCGTCTTCTGTCACTGCACGTCCGTAAAATGTCAGTGCTGTCTGTCAGTTGTTGTGTCAATGTCATGTCGTGTTCCTGTCGCATGTGGTCCAGAGGTGCCCCGTCACGTAAGTGCATTGTCAGGCGTCGTGAGAGTGTCGTTGTGGTCACACCAATGTAGTGTGTGGGACGAAGTTTGCAGCCTTCGATGTTGCATTGGAATTGATACACTACATTGGTTTGTCGGGTTTGTCTGGGCTGTTTCTCATAAGAAAGTTCGATATCTTCTTATTACAATAGTAAATGACAATGTCTATTTTGTGGTCGTTTTTGCCTTTAACATGTTGAGAGATAATTTCCCGTAAAGCTTTTTCGTCCTGTTTGTGAGCGGATGTCACTTGATTTTGATAGTACAGTTTGACGGTCGGTTGGATGTCTTGCCTTGGTTTGCTGTCAAAGTGTCTTGTCATATGTTGTTGTGTCTCGTTTTCAATGTCAGAATTTGAAAAACCGTTGTTCACCAGGATCTGTTTCATTCGTGTCAATTCTGAATGTAGTCCTGTCCAATCCGAGCAGTGCTTAAATGCTCGTCAAAGAAAGGACCTTATGACGCTAATTTTGTAGCGTCGAGGACACTCACTGTCGGCATTTAAGCACCGTCCGTTGTTAGTCTGTTTTCGGTATACAGTCGTTTTGAATTGTTGTCCTTGTCCATCAACAGCTACGTCAAGAAAGGGTATTACGTTTTGCACACTTTGCTCTGTTGTGAATTTTGAGCCCGACCGTTCTTCAAAGGTGTTTTTGAGATGTCCTAGATGGTCAATGTCCCTAACTTCTACAAATATATCGTCTACGTAGCGGCAGTAAATGTCCGGTCTTATGTCGTCATTTTGTGGTATGTCGGTTTCTACGTGTCCCACAAAGAAATTAGCGAATAGGGGTCCTAGAGGTGAGCCCATCGCAACACCCTCAATTTGGCAATACATTCGGCCATCAGGCCCGCGGAAAGGAACCGGGCCCCGCAAAGTCAAAGGCCCGGAAACTAGAACGATGCATCAAAAAGCTCGTTAATGCTGAGTCAGCAGTTACTTTTAATCAAACATATATATATATATATATATATATATATATATATATATATATCGTACATACCGGGAGCGGCTGGTATACGGCACTGGTCCCGGGTCAGGCGCGTGTGCCATACTTGGTCCGACCACCTCATAGTGCAGGCGGCCAAACGGCATAAGTGCCCGAGCGGCATAAGGGCCCGACCGACCGCCTGGTGCCAGCCTTCGTGGGCCCGCACCAGCAGTCAGCGCCCACCGCGCCGAAGTAAGGTGCACACGCAGGCTAGCTGCGCTTGGCCGGTGGCAAACCGGCAGGCACCGCGCCTTGAGCCGACCGAGCGGAGGGCGGGGCCACGGCATTCATGATGCAAGCATCATCGTGGGTGAGGCGCGTCGGCCCGCCCCCCGCCACGGGCCCCGCCCTGTGTGAGTCGCCCGTCTGCCACGTGAAGCTTCCAGCTGCGGTTGGGGAGGGTTAAGGCTCCAGCCGTTGCGAGCGAGAACAGTTCTACGCACCTGCCACCGGCTCGGCCGCGTGCCAAAAGTTGGGGGATGTCGAAGTTGCCAACGCTTTTGTAAGTCGCGCTGCAGATAAAGAAGGTCTGGAAAAGTCGGAGGGGATGGGTTCCTGATCCCTCCTGAAGTAGGGGCCATGCCTCTCGTCACGCATTCCGTCTCGCATGCCATCGCCATTCCACAGGGACCACTGAGGCGCCCGCTAAAGTGAGCTCATGGTGTTAGTTGATAACGTCAGCCCCTTCGGATGCGGCCAGGAGGTACACTGGTGTTGAGCTTGGGTGCTTCGCCAAGTTCCTGCAGAAATGCTTCTGTGTGGCTCGCTTGTGCCGGGTCCGACCTCTGGCGTGCATCCAATCAAGGCCCTGCATGCAGCCAAATGTTCATCACGCCTGTTGCATTCAGTGCGAATAGTTTTGTTCACCTCAGAGCACCCTGGCGAGACATAAGCGAGAGGCGTGCGCAAGGGCATGACAAAACGACGCGGGAACGTCCCGCTGCTGGTGGCGATCCTTGTGTACCGTCACTAGCCTTAGCGTCACAGGTCGGCCTATAGACTCACAGCCCATGTGGGAACGCATGCAGATCACCGTCACCGTCAGTGGACGCACCGCTGAGAGCACGGCGCGCAGGCGCCACCTCCCGCCTCCCGCGCACGGAGGAAAGGCAGCGGATTGTGACCCCTGCAGCTAAAAGCCTGTTAAGGTGAAGACGTGAAGGTGAAGGACATGGTTTGGTCGATCAGCCCAATAAAAGTGATGAACCCGCTTTCTTCCCCCGCCCCCCGCTTAAGACGTCCAAAATCCGGTGTGTCACGCATGTTGAGTATTGACACTTCAAAGGGCAGGTGACTG